TAGTGGTTAAGGCACCAGGCTAGAAAGCAGGAGATTGTGAGTTCTAGTCCTGCCTTAGGCACGAAAGCCGGCTGGGTGACTTTGAGCCAGTCTCTCTCTCTCAGTCCAACTCCCTCACAAAGTTGTTGTTGTAGGGAAAATAGGAGGAAGGAATATTAGGTATGTTCACCGCCTTGAGTTATTTATAAAAGTAATACAGCGATAAAAAAAACTCAGGGGGGAAGGAGGGCATGGATGTGTGCGTGTGAAGGGGGAAAGAGGATAGAGTTTATGTGAACAAGAGAAGGAGGGAGAGGTGCATGTGTGCATGTGAGCAAAGGGGGGAGGGAGGGCACGGTGCATGCGAGTAAAGAAAGGCTGGAGTGGGAGGGTGAGACTTACCCAGATGACTTGCGACCTCCCCTTTGACTTTGCTTGTAGGAAGCTGGCAGGGAAGGTTTCAAATGGTGATCACATGACTGTGGCACACTGCAACTGGTCGTAATTGCAAGCTGGTTGCCAAGCTCCTGAATTTTGTTCCCGTGACTGCAGGGGTGCAGCAATGGCTGGAATTTCGAGGACCAGTCGTAAGTCCCTTCCTTCAGCACCGTTGTAACTTTGAACGGTCACTGAATGAATGGTCACAACTCGAGGACTACTTGTATTATACAAACAGTATCGTTGAAAGATCTTTATGTCATTTCAACAAATTACCATTGGTAATTTCATCAATTTTCATCTTAATAGGAATACTTTGGGAGATTTTCGAATATATTTTATTATACGTTGTAATCTTTAAGTCAATTTAACACAACCCTGTTGTGAATGGGTTTGTGTGTTATTACCCAAAGAAAAAAAACTTTTACCCAATTTTGCGTAATTGGGAAGCACTGGTTTAACATCTACCTGAAGGTACCGGGACAGATCATCCAGAGGTAAGGTCATCCACCGAGGGCCAGGCAAGATATGTTGTGGAGGACCTGACCTGATACCTGGAGACTGTTAGGGTCCGGTTGAGGATGGAATCCTATCAAGACAGAGTGATAATGGATTTGTAATCCAAAGATAGTCCCTCTATGACTCTCGGTGGGATATATAATCAAACAAGTACACTGTATAAACTTCCTGTGAGTGTTGCTTGAACATCAGGTTCTGCAGGCATCCACACTTTCACTGTGAATGCAGAATGTCGTTTGAATAACACTAACAAGGGGCAGGTCTTAAGAGCTCATCTGGAATCACTCCGGGTTTTGAATATCTTAACATAATGTATGTTTATTTTCTTATATATGGGTTTAGGAAAACAATGTATAAAGCTAGAGTGGGTTGAAAAGGCATGTTTTAAGTAGTTTTAAGGAATAATAATATCTACATTCATTTGTATAGGAGTCTATTTTGTTCTGTATGTTGTTTAAGATCTATAAAACTGTCAGGGATGGTCATTTGGCACCTTGTAATGGTATGCCACCAGTATCTCATGACAGTCAGGTCTATTGTGCCTTACTTTCTAATTCTAAAGAAGCAATGAGTATGTCTGAATGCTGCTTGCACTTGATAAAGGGCTAATACATTGAGGCACTACTGCTGAGAAGAAACCTGGACTCAGGCACTAAGATGAAGCCTATTTCAGATGGAACTGTACTCTTCCAGAAAGAGCTGGCTTGCAGTATTAACAGTGCTCCTAAACCCCCAGCCCTTTGATCTTCAGATTATGGCTGTGGCAAGACATGCATTTGCACAACTATGCTAATACACCAACTGTGGTCCTTCTTGAACTGGTTGAGCTTAACGACAGTTATCTATGCTTTGTCTGCACGACTGCAACATGTTTTACAAGTGGCTACCCTTGAAAAGTCTCCTGAAATTACAGTTGGTTCAAATGTCTTCTAAATGATTCAATGTACAAGCATCATATGAAACCTCTATTGAAAGATCTGCACTGGTTACCAGTTGCTGCCCCCAATTTAAGGTGTTGGTGTTGACCTTTAAAGCCCCAAAGGCCTTTTCTGTCACCAACCTACCCCATTATTTAGATCAGTATGAGGCCCTTTTGAAGGTTTCCCCTGCTTCCAGAACTCACCTCTCTAGTACATGGGAAAAGGCCTTCTCCTTCACCCCCAGGCTATGAAATGCATTCTTCAAGCAACTGAGTTTATCTCCCACTTTCCTAGTACTTAGGAAAATGGATAAACCCATTTGAATTCACTTCTGTGTAATGATAGTGATTTTAATTTTGCCTTTATTTTAATTAGATTTTTATTTTTACATTTTATAATTTATAATTTCAATTATTTTAATCCACCTTGAGTGTTTTATAAATAGAAAGGTAATGTATAAAGGAATCAATCAATTAAATAGACCATCTGTTCCAATGCTGAAAAATGCTACTTTTCAGTTTAATAATATCCATCTTATTTAAATTTAAGAACCAGTATTTTCTCCAACATGCATACAGTCTGTCTCCCTTAGTTTAAAAGATTCTGTGCTACTTAATATTTCCAAGCAAAACAGCTCAAATAAATAAAATATAATAAAACACTGTGAGTAAAAGAAACTTTCTCTAAAATGCAGTATCAAGCTGTTGCATGAAAAATCCAAACTCAAAGTTTACCTTATCCACATTCATTCTTTTAAATGATGCCTGCAGAAGTTTGAAATTATGAATATATTCATGCTCAAGCTTTGCTTGAAATTTTACTTTCTTCAAACTAATACACCCTGGGAACAACATATCCATGAACTGACAGTAAGCTGCTCCTAGAACAAGAAAACAGAGCCATGTTAGTTGCAGTGCAAGCAAATAAGATAGCAAAGTGTCACAAGAAACAAAGTAAATAGACTTACTTATTGAAGTTGCAAAAATAGAGTTAAACATCAAACCTCTATCTTAGTATCAGATTGAAGTAATAAGTACATTCTGTTTTAGCATGTGACTACTTTTCCAAACACATCTGCATCATTAGAATTGCAACAAATGTTATCAAGAAACATTCCAGTAAATACAAAAAGACTCTACAGAATATATGTCAAAGAAAGACAAACTAGCATACTAGTGTGTTCTTAAAAGTGCTCAACTGATTTTTAAGTTCCATTGTCACAGTATTTATTTTCTAATGTACTCAGAGATTCCTCACCAAAATTATAAAAATGTTATACAGAATGGCATCAATAGTCCAGTGAAAACTTCAGATAGCTCACAAATTCCTGACATTAAATCAAGAAAAAAGAAGCTGCCATGCCCTGAAAGCCAAGAGAACAATTTCAGAGAAACAAGCCAGAATTCAGACAAAACTGAGGGGAAAAAACAGCAAAAGTCTGTCAGTTGCAGGAGGACTTCAGTAAGAGGCAGAATAAATAATAATTGTCTGAATAATAAATTCTGACAATCCCTGAACAGTATCATAAACTATGGCTTATGCTGCCTGGCTGGTTGATAGTGTTAAATTAATCAGCAATGGATGTCTACTAACTATGCTGTGGGCAAGAGCAGCCACACTTAATCATAAGCCTAGCAAAGAACATTACACAATGCAATCACGGCAAAGAATCAGATGTCTAATCCAGTAAGTCCTGGCGAAGTCTTGCAAAATCTACATGCTGTTAAGGGACAGTATTTGTCCTTTACCACCAAAGTTTTTTTCAGCCAGGTCCATCTGTTTTATCACGATTTGGCTTAACAGACCCTAAGATGCAATGAAGCACTATATCTAAAGAGATAGGGAAGCTTAATGAACAAAAGTCACTTTGTTTTCTGACAATGAATAAATAGTTGACTTAGATCCCTTATAAATTTCCTATGTAGCTTTTGTGCAAATGAAAAAAGGAACCCAAAAGCTTTGGTGCATTAGGTACTCCTCCCCAAGTCAACAACAGAATCCAGAGCAGAAGACTGTTCTAGGGTCCACATTTGGTCAGTTTTTTCAATGCAAAGCATTATCATATACACATGACCTGGTGTTTACCGCATGGGTCTTTTCCCACTACTATCAGTATGTGACATATCACTGCCCCATGCAAGGGTGGGAAGAATAATTCAGGTCGTCACTCTAGACCAAACAATGCACAATATTGTTTGAGTGAATTTAATCAATGTCTGCATTAAAAAGAAAAAAAAAACATAAATAGAACCAATTCTGCTATTTGAGCAGTATCAATTCCACAGAATTGGAAAGGGATATTTCTATCTTTGAGAGGATCTTCAATGAGATACTCTTTGACTCCAAAGCCTCCTACCTTCCTTGTTTCCTCTTTTCAAATCGTTCACTTTTCTCTTTCCATTCCATGTTGCTATTTTTTGCACTCTCCCCCTCATTTATTCTTTGGATATTCTTTCTCTTTTTCTCCTCATTTTTCTCTCTTATATCTTGATGCTTTTAACCTTGGGGCTGATCTTTTTTTGTGCCTTTATGAGTCAGCAGCACCTTAACTTTCTTCTACTTTCAGCACAATTTAGGTATACAGTACAGCAAAGTCAAGATACAATCACACCAGCATCCTCATTTTCTAGGCTGCTGCTGTTCCTAAATGCTCTCTGGGGAAATGAAGATGGTGGGCACTATCACAGCTTATCTTCTCAACAATGCAACCTCTATAAAATATGCCTAGTGATTTTGCCTGAGATCCTTTGGCTGCAGGTTCTTAGTTCTTATGATAAGCCCATTGTCTGAGTTATTAAAATGCCTCCTCTCCATCTCCTGACTTCTCTGGTGCTTCTCATGTACATGTTTAAAACATGTATATTAATTACATTTATATAATTATTACCTCTACTTTTTACCCCAGAATTCATCCTGGTGGATTTTGTTTTCTTGGGGGAGATGGGCAGCATACAAATTTAATTAATACATACATACATACATACATACATACATACATGGACGTGCAAGTGTTAAGTGCCTCTATTTATTTATTAGGGCTGTATAGCACCTTGGATTCAATATCCAAGAGGTGCTTTGGTGTGAGAAGGAAGCACGAACTTAGCACCTCCCACAACTTCCAAATAATAGTTTGGATCAAATCCAAAGCTCTGCACAATCTTCTATGGTCCAAGCATTTAAAAACTCTGCACAATCTTATTAGTAATTTATTCACATTCTGTCTTTCCCTCAAGAGGTCCTCCAAATGTTTACCTATGCTACCCCCCATTTGAGATTAGCTGGGTTAAGCAATAGTGACTTGAAGCAACCAAGAACTTGAACAGACAGTTGCCCATCTCTACTTCTAAGAAGACACACACAGTTTTTTGTCTCAATTCACTTAATATCTTGCAGATATCCACAATATAAGGCAGGCCATTGGAACATGTTGCACATTTCCAATATTATGTGTTTGCCCTTGCCAAGATAAACAGAAAGCAGTCTATTTGACCATAATCAGTGTTATGTAATTAGCATGCACAAGCCTAGCCAGCACTCTTGAGCTTTAATATTGACAAGTGTTGTTGTCAGTGCAAATACTTATGTTCCTTCCTTTCCCTAGCAGCTGCATTATCTCTCTTCCTTCCTAGACAAGAATCTATTTCGTGATATTATTGTATGTATGGAGATGAAGCAAAGAGTCAGAGAGGAAGACGAACCAAACTGAAGGCAGCAAGCATTTAAACACACATCTTACAAACATCATTCAAAGCCTGAAACTCTTTTTAGTCAAGTATCTTTTCCTGAAAATATATCTGATTAATTCATTTAAAATAAAGACAGGGATTAACACAAAATGTAGAACACTCCCCAAACTTCCTTTGTTAACAGAACCTGTTATGGTATGAACAAACCAGTGAAATGAAAAGAAGTTATAAGTAAACAGACTCACATTATGGGATACAGAAAGCATATCCTGCTGAGGCACAACTAACCTACTGATTTTAATTGTCATGAGACATATAATGCAATTAGAAACTGGCATTTCAGGATCCAAAAAATACTGGGAACTATAATAGTTCACTTCAGACATGCCCTCTCCAGGTTACAGGATATGCTGACTGGGCTAAGTCACATTGTAGTCTAATCTTTATTACTGTTAGAATTGATGAGATGCATATTTTAGGGGAATAATCAGCCTCAGAATTGATAATGGATATCAACGTGGTAGATAGCTTCTAACTTTTAGGATCAACCATCAACAGTAATGGAACAAGTAGTCAAGAAATACGTTGCAGACTAGCACTTAGTAGAGGAGCCATGAAGGCCTAGAAAAGGTAATTAAGATGCCATGTGTCTATACCTACAAAGATCACAGACTAGTGTAAATAATGGTATTCCCTGTGACACTCCATGGAAGCGAAAGTTGGACTTTGAAGAAGCAAGACAGGAAGAGTATTGACAGTTTTGAACTTTGGTGTTGGAGAAGACTCCTGAGGATACCATGGACAGCCAAGAAAACAAGCAGGTGGATCATCAAACAAATCAACCCAGAGTTCTCACTCAGCACACAAATGACCAGGCTCAAATTATCCTACTTGAGACACATTATGCGGAGATCTAGTTCTCTGGAGAAGGCTCTAATGCAGGGAAAGGACAAAGGAAAGAGAAGAGGATGACCAGCAACAAGGTGAATGGACTCAATTACAGTGGCGATGGGTGCATTGCTGCAAGACCTGAAGGACCAGGTAATGGACAGATTGTCATAGAGAAAATCTATCTGTGTGGTCGCTAAATCTGTCAAGTGGCCACTTGATGATATATAATCAATATGGATCCCCAATACTTGACAGCAGCAAATATACAGTTGATTAAAACCCAGAAAAACAGCCTTCTCTGTGGTAGCTTCTAGATTCTAGAAGTAGAATCAACTGTTATTATTCAGAAATGAGTACGCATGGTTATATATCAATTTTGGGTGCCAGGATGGAGCCACTGGGATAAGTCCTGATGTCAGAGTCTGTCAGGTCCTAGCCCAGCAAATTTGCAAAAGTGGAAACTTCTTTTGATCTGGGTGTCTTCTGGGAAAGGGGGCATATAAAAAATGTAAGTCATGACACAAACACCACAACATTACAGCTTGCTGTAGATAACTATAGGCCCTAGTTCAGAATTTAAATCCCTGTCTTTATCAGGGTGGCTGAAAGAATTTAATTCCATTTTAGGGGGAAAAAACATGCTTTTTCAGTGGATGTTGGAATTGCTAATTTGCACATTACTAATAAGTAGAAAAGTATAGACGTTGATATATTTGTTGTTGTTTTGGGGAATAAGTATAAGTTTTCCTTGTAGAAATGCTTCAGTTCAGCTGAGAGGAGGTTTGGCTCAAATTTATCAGAATATTAGACTCATGTCTTCCCATATGGAAGCTATTACCAATCCATAGTGTGTAGAGAAAGCTTGTTTCTTCCTAGGAAAGTCATAGAATTGTGCAGCTGGTTAATGGTATTCTTTATATTGTTACGCTGCATCACTCTTGGGGAAAGGAAGATAGCTTTAAAGTAAGTGTTTTAAAAGGCACCAACTGAATCTATAGGGAGCCATAACTAAAATCAGGCAACATTAAAATATGTGTTGCTTTTACTGATTTCTGGAAATAAGTTAATATTTCCTTTAAAACTGTATGAGATTTAATTTTCTTTGGGGTATTGATTTAGTTGTCAATATAATGAATAATGAATATAATGTATTAGACTGGGCTACAGAAAATTTGCAAAAGTGGAAACTTCTTTTGATCTAATTACAGTATAGAAATTCTGTATTATGTTTAGAATTGAACAGAAGGCAGATGATACACTACCTGCCACTTAGATTTGGCAATTGTACAACAAAAAAGATAGA